AAGCGAATTGGAGTGACGACCGCGGGACAGGTTTACACCTGTTGCGCGTCGAACGGCGACATTGAATGTATCTAAGTACACGCGGTATTGTACTCAGAGACGGCGACCACGACGACCACCCTAAATCACGACATCAGGATACTATAATAATCGCCAATGAAGTAGCAACGTACCTTTCTCCTGGTGCAATCGGTCGGGACGGGCGTGACGTCCTCGATGCGCCCGATGGACATGCCCGCACGGGCAAGAGCACGAAGCGCACTTTGTCCACCCGGTCCGGGGGTCTTGGTGCCAGTTCCACCGGTAGCACGGATCTTGATGTGCAGAGCGGTGATGCCGACTTCCTTGCAGCGCGCGGCGACGTCCTGCGCGGCAAGCATGGCGGCGTACGGAGACGACTCGTCGCGGTCGGCCTTGACCTTCATTCCGCCTGGGGTGGGCTGTTAGACTCGCTCGGAGCGGGGCTGCAAGGAAGAAGACGTGCCGGTAACGCGCGAGATGGTCTCCTTGCCGGACATGTCGGTGACGTGCACGAAGGTGTCGTTGAAGGACGCGAAGATGTGGGCGACACCGAAGACGCGCTCGCCCTCAGCAACCTGGGGGCCGAGGGAGACGGTGTTTTCCTCCTTGGGGGCTTTGGCTTTCTTAGGGGGCTAAACGACATCCAGCAGTCAGTTGGCTAATCCACTCATTTCGAGGACATGAAGCAGTGAAATATGCTGCCAGCCAGAACGAGAACAGGCATGGCGCCGTTGGACAAATAGGACGGACATACCATGGCGGAGTGGTCGGTTTTGCTTGAGGTAGAAGGAGGACCAAAATTTGCTTGAAGCGAGCGGACCCTAACCCTAGGGTGTTTGCACAGCCACCTTGGACGCGTGAAGTCGAAGCAAATCTTTCGGATTGAAACCTCAGACGCAAGCAGGCAATTGATTCCTTCTATGAGCACAAAAATACAAGTACAAGTGATCCGGAGAAAGAGAGAGAGAGAGAGAGAAAAAATGAGGGAAATAAATAAGTCTACGTCTATGTAAATGAAGCAATCGAGATAAGGATACACGTCGAAGCATTATACGGTCTACAGAGAGAGAGAGAGGTGAGAAATCCGATACATAAGCAAAAATAAGATATGGCCGAGACGAATGAGACTTCAAACTTGACAAGACCAGAGACATACGCGAAGAGAAACCATGAGAAACCCATCTAGCATCCAGACACGCCATAAACACCCATTGCGACCCGTCTATCGTCGTCCGCATCGAAGTCGTGCACCGCGTCGCCATCTCCGACCATAAGCGAGCTCACCAGCGCGTCGAGTATCATGCGCCCGGGAACAGAGGGGCCTGTCGGCTCCTCTGACCCAGACGGCGCGGAAGGAGGCGAGAGCAGCGGAGGAACGTCTTCCCCACACTACTCCATCCTCCCTCCACGCTCCACCCACCCAGAATCAAAGAGGCACGTCGGCGCCTCTGACCCAGGCGACGCGGAGGGCGAGAACGGCAGGGGAACGTCTCCCCCCGCCGATCCGTCCTCTCCCGGCTGTGGTGGTGGTGATGATCATGACGGACGGCCGACGAGCCCGCGTGCTGGTCGAAGACGGCGAGTTGGCGAATTTATCGAAGATGGCGAGTTGGAGTCGGATAGGCGGGGCGACGGGCGGGTTTGGGACGTCTGGAGCGGGGCGATGTGGTTTCTTTGCTCGAGTCTACCGCGCACCCGACGCACGGCCCAGCGGGATGCGGAGCAAGTGCATGCGCCTGCGGTACTCGCGACGCTGCGCTTCCGTCTGCATGAAGGCGTTTGGGTCGAGGTGGTAGTAGGGTGGATATGTGCGTGTGGGCGGACCCGAGCCGTGGTGGAGGATGCGTGAAGGCTGCTGCTGAGCACGAGCGCGCTGCGCAACCAGTGATGCCGAGGTTTCATAAATCATAGTCCTGAGCATTGGGTCCGTCGTCGGCTGCTGCTGAGCATGATGGCGACCACGTTGAGCAACGGGTGATGGCGACGTCTGATAAATCATGACGGGGATAGGTTCCGTCGACGGCGGAGGTGGAGGCACCCGAGAAACTGGAGGGCGTTGCAGTGGGGGCAGCGGCAGGATGCGATGGACGGCCGCGCCAGCGGGTGTGGGGGAGGAGGGTACGAGGAGGTGACCGGGAGCCGTTCGAGTCCGCGCACGAGCCGACGCGCGGGGAGCCTGAAAACATTATGAGTAGAAGGGAGAACACATGAAAAGACGAACCGTTGCTGACGGCGCTTCGGTAAGTACCCGAGCGCGATCTGGTCTGCAAACTCGTGGTTTGGTAAAGCTTTCTTGGGCGATTTCTTGGACCATAGCGGCGTTCTGTCAATGGATCATAAGACAAGATAACGAAGAAATTGATGATAAACGCACGTCTTTCTTAGCTTCGTGCTCCACGAGTTCGATGCGATGGACGGTTGCACCTGCAGGTGTAGGAGATGCGGGCACCAAGATGAGGTGGCGAGGATCCGTTCGAGCCGGTGTGTAGGGAGGCTAAAAAGATTGTGAGTAGGAGTGGAGAAGGTATGAAACGACGAACCGTTGCTGGCTGCACCTCCGTAAGCACTCGAGCACGATCTGGTCTTTGCACCTCGGTGAAGATGGTTGGGACCGAGAGAACGATCTGTCGACGGAATGTTAGACAAGCGAGAGAAGATATCAATAGACGCACCTCTTTCTTGGACTCGCGCTGGACGCATTCGATGGTGGGGTATGCGATCGCGCAGAGCAGAAGAAGAGCAAACAGAGGGAGGGCACTGAGGGAGGTGCAATCCGACCGCGGAACGCAGGATGAAACCGACGCCGAGAGGCACGCGGTGCCGTCGTTGGGAAGTGCGGTGACGATGGTGTCGAACGCGTCGGGAACAAGCGCGTGTTCCCCGCGAACGTGGACGTTGTTGGTGTCCAAGGGGAAGTGGACGGGGGAGAAGACTTGCTCGAACGTGTCCAAGGTCGCGTGAATGGTGCTGATGCTCGTCGCGGGAGGGGAGATGGACAGGACGGCGGGGAACTCATAGAGGACCCTTGGGAAGACGAGGTGGGACAGCAGCACGGGGGTGTATATGAGGGCGATCCAGAGGAGGGCGGCGGGAACGAGGGTGACCATGATGGGAAGGAGGTGGGGGTTTGCTTTGTGTGCTGGAAGGCTTAAAGCAGATGCGAGCGGAGGCAAGCAAGGGTAGACAATTGCGGGGGGGAAGCAAGAGTCAATGCCGAGTTCAAACTGCGATTCTGGCTTATATACTCGCCTTGTTTAGCCGCACAACAACGCGCTCGACGCGTCGAAACGTCAGCAAAGAGTGCACAGGCGTACAACATGTGACCGAGACAATGACGGCGGAGACTCGAGCATTGAAATCCAGAAAGACAACGGACGAGGGAGAGGAGGAGGAGAACGCGGTTGGCGATCGTGTATGTCAAGGCGCGTCGATGATCGATCAGGAGCTCCTGCATGCCCATCCTTCTTTCAAGCTCTGTAGGAACAACTTGCCCGAGTATTCCAGGACACCCTTCAGATTCCAGGTTCCTCATGTTTTAGGTAGCACCAGCGGCAAAAAATCCGGCATTTTTTTTTCTTCACACTAAGTTCGGCGGATATAGCCTGGATACACACTGCTGGCCAACCACTTCTGAGAATCTTGTCGACTCCTGGTCGCCTTCCACTAACAGCTCCATTATCTTGAGGATCTCCGAGTCATGCTGGCTGCGTCTTTAGCTAGCTTGGATTATTTCGAAGGTACGTCGTTTCCAATCAGAGAGCGCGTTCAGCAAGAGAGACAAGTTGCTGTCGTGCCACTGGCACTGGTAGGAGACAGAAAAGAAAAGTGTCCACATCCGTGCTTCCTTATCCCTTCTGGTGATGCTGTCTGGACCTGTCTGGACGGATCGTTGGACGGCGCCTGTTTTGAGGACGCGCCGGCCACTGTTTTGTGCTACAAGGACATTTAACCTGAAGAAGTCATCGTTGCAGTCCATCCAGCTTCAGTCGAGAAAGTCCCAAGTAGCCTGGCGCGAACTTGAAGCCCCAAGAATTGATTGAACTTTTGGCTTCTTCAGTGGGCGGACTATTCCAAGACAATTCACTACCACGTTTGCTGGTCCCTGGTGAGAATATCGCCTCCGTGTATGTGTCAAGGTGCTCGCTATCACCCTGAATGTGAGTCCCATACTCAGGCGGGAAATCAATCAGCGAGAAATGTGGCCAATCTTATTTTATGAAGGTCTCCGATCTCTATGTATGGTTGTTTAGCTTGGCTGGATTTCGACGGACCGACTTTGTCGTTTCAAACTGTCAACCCACGACGCGAAGTCGGACGCGCGGAATTGTTTTCTTTTGAGTCGCACTCACACTAAAACTATTACAGCCGATACTAGTCTATTAGTTACCGCGGGGTCACAAGTGGTGTCGAGCCTTATTATATAAGCATCCGTTTTGGGAAACCACGTGCAATGTCCTACTAACGCGTCTCGACGCGTCAAACGCGAAGTCAGCCTTTTACTCAACGGATTGAGTATAACTTATGTCCCGGGGGATGACCACGATATCTCTAAGTTCTCTCATTGTGAGGGAAACATGACTAGTGAAGGAATTTTGTGTTTCGTCGCGGAATCAGCCGAACAATTCTTGTAAGATGTAAATCATCGAAAAAAACCACCTTCATGCTAATTTTTTTTTGAAAATTTCGACACTTTGGACAACCGTTCTCTAAAGTCACGTCGAATCGCGCCAGACGAGATAGAACGCGGAAAAACGCGTGAAATAAATCAGTTGTTTGGTTGTGCATTGCCCATCATTACATAATAAGATTGGACGCCGCTAATCAAGCGCGGTAACTAACAGACTGTATAACGAGCGAGGCACGAGCGTTTTGTTAGTACAGCGTCTGTCAAGAGAGACAAAGCCGATACGGGTCTATCGGGAGGTTCTTCCTTTCCTTTTCTGCCATAGTATAATCTACTAGTTCCTACTACACTCATAGCATTAATGGGGTAGTGGTAACCTGGGTCGTTGCCAGTACAAATTACGTAAGCGGGTTCGACCCGCCGGGGGTTCGATTCCCTCTTAATGCATTCTTTTTGTCCTTTTTGCCCTGTTCCCTTTCCCTCCCTCCTTTCTGCTTACCCTTACGTAACACCTGATGGCAACGACCACTACCCATTAAATTTTAATACTATGAATGTCACCGGAACTAGTAGATCATACTATGGGCGGAAAGCTAAAAATTGCACTAAGTCCGAAAGGGGTTCGGACTTAGAACCAAAACCATAATTCCAGCCGATATCGACAGACAACTGAAATATTGCCGGAATCGAGTTGTTGACTTTGGCCACCAAAATCCAACTTCGGTCGGACCAATTAAAAAGTTGAACCAAAACGAAACAAGTACAAACTACAACCCGTTCACACTCAATAGGTTTTACCAGCTTGGACCCCGTCAAGGGAATTTATATTACAACGTGTGTACACAATCAGCAATCAGGGCCCCCCGGCCAACGCCAATATCTTCGCCGATGCCTGTTCTGCCGCCGACATGAGTAGGCCGTGGGGATTTCCATAGGGCAACGACGGTATGATCGACGCATCAACGACAAACAAATTGTTGGTGTTGAACACTTTGGTGTTTACGTCGACGACGGCCTTTCCGGCGGTCCCGATGATGTTGGATCCTATCCAGTGGTTGGAATCCATCGTGGACTGCAAACTTGTGAGAAACGTGGACTGGGAGGAAATTATACAACTCACCGGATCGTAGGCGTCGACTGTTCGAGTTTAGGTCAGCACGCGAGGAGGGAGAGGGACTCTGGAGGACATACCATAGGCGGGAATAGTCGTGGTGTTGTCGGGCGTGATCATGGTCAGCCCCGGAACTGATGATTGTAAGTGCAAATAGAGATGGATGGACGGGAAAGCGGTACCCTGAGGAAGAGAAGAAACAATTTCCTCGAGACCTGCTACCAAGGTCGTTTTATCAACTGGGTCTACTAGCCAGGGATTGACAAGCGGCAGAGCGTTGAGTGCGGCGTTGATTCCGAGTCTGCCGCGAGACTTTATTCCGGTGGACCTTTTCAACCATCATCAATCCAAGATCCAGAATGCAGTCGTTTCACGCACAGGTACGCTGTTATCGTAAACATTTGGCTGTCGGGAGCATAAGAGCAGACCAATAAATAAACAAATACACGGACGTTGCATTGTAGGGGTATGAGGTGGTCACGGAGGCAGCGCCTGGCCGTGCGGTACCTTGCAGCTGTCACGCGAGTTAAACTTGGATCACGTTGGTTATTAAAATGCGCACCCATCGTGTTACTCCGTCGCTGCCTGCGAGTGCACGCCAGAAGTTGAGTCTGTTGGGTGTCAGATCTTTCCGAGGTATAATGACAAGTGCTGTGGTACCTGGGCGATGCCTGCGCAAGGATGCCGGATCGACTAGCTAGATACTGAGCAGCATCGGCCGCCGGGGGGTCAGTAAACACGTCCGCCCAGTTGTCATACGAGTTTCTGGAAGAGGTTACACAAGGTTTTGATGCGAACAAGAAAATGCGTACATTGACGGATGGGTGAACACCAGCTAGCCAGAGTGTCAATAGGCGCAATTTACATGAATGATACCACGCACATTTATGGATGGGTTGTCCGACACCTGCATTTATTTAGTTCAGTTCCACGTGTTGCGCGACGATTTGAACCACCCACATTATACCCGACAGGAAGATTGATCCACTGTGACGACGGCGGGAGATTCGGCCCAGCAACGGGATCGCCGGCAACGAGGTTGATCATATCCTGCGGAACTGTTATCCAACATATCGCATTTTGCGGAACCGACTCACAGTCGGGCCGATCCCACTGCGGAAAAGTAGGCGCGCGCTCCCGTACGAGCCCGCCGAAAGGATTACGCGACCGTTGGGAGTCAGGGGATAAATCCCGCCCGCAACCGACGTGTCGTTGGTTTTGACACCAGTGATTTGCGCGCCATTTCGGACGACATTCAACACCTCTGTGAACATTTTGAGCTTGAAGTTTGAGCGCGCCTGTGCTGTCTGCAGATACGTCGCAACCGGTCCGCCTCGCTTGCCCGCGATAAACTAGAGGAGGGTGAGGAGATGGAACCAAATCAGGCGACGGTTCGCTCACGTCGTATGCGCTGTAGCCTAATTTGCCAAGTTGAACATGCATGAACGGCAGCCACAGATGAAAAGACGAACCATAAATGTGATCTTTTGAATCGGGTGAATCGTTGATGGTTACGTTGCGATAACCTTGAGGGGTCAGGAGCTGTTGGACCACAGTTGATGTCTATAGACGATTAGGGCGTCGATATACCGCACTGGAACTGAAGACCAACCTGTTCCAAGTACCGCTTGCCATCTATAAACGATTAACGCGTTGCTCACAGCACCACGAGGGAACTAACCTGTAGACGGCGCATCGGTCGGGGGCAGTCGAGCCTTCAGTGCCGCCGTGTAGGGCGCGTGATTCGTCCATGCCTGGGGCCAGCCGTTGGTCGTCGAGAAATCAGAGTCGGAGGGGAGCCAGTAAAGACTAGAAAGGATGAGAAAGGAATTTCAACCATGTTCCATCACGTACGCGCCGTTGACGGATGTCCCTCCGCCCACCTGTCGAATAAATTAGTTCAACCAAAGCCAAAGGAAAGCAAAGAGCTCACCAGGCATCCCGCAAAGACCGTGATGTCTTTACACCACCAAAAGTCGTTGGGATCAGTGAACATGGACTCGAATAGTCCGGGCACGTCAAATTTCGTCAGCTTGGGAAAAGTTCGACTTTGCATAAATTAAAATTGAAAATGGAGCGCACGTTCGATCCTACAGCCCAAGGCGCCTGGTACGTCCCTCCAGTCTGCCCGGTACTCGGCCCTCCACGTTCCAAGAGTAGTACCGATTTTCCGGCTTGCGATAAACGATCTGCTGTGATTATGCCGCCAGGTCCAGAACCGACGATGATATAATCGTATCTGAACAGAACATCAGCGCTCTTCGCAGAGGCGATGATGTAATAAATTCGTACGGAGTAGCTGTTTGCGTTGACGTGGGCGTCGAAGTTGTTTTGGACGAAGTTGGAGGCGTCGTAGTGGTCCCTGGAACTGGTTTGAGGACAACACTGAAATATTTGACTGATTAGCTTACCTCCGCCTTTACCTCCTGCAGCCCAGTTATTGTAGACCGAAGCGCTAACATGCGCGGACGCAAAGTCGAAGAAATAGAATCCAACTGAAAAACAGTTAGTTGAACTGCGTTCGAGAGAGGCACTGCTTACAGTCGGTGTGTTGAACCATGGAAGTCCCTGGGTCCGCCGGATCGTCGACAGGAATAGTCGAAACACACCACGCCGGAGTTGAACCAGGAGAACTAACATCGAGGCTTCCGCCCGTCCACGCTGTGAAACAGAGATGAATGAGACCCAGCGTCCAGAAGAATTAAATTGTAATTACTGGTGCAATTTTGGCACCGGAAGACCCATTTCCAATGTGTAGAATTAACGGAACTCGTCGGAAGGGTCGTGATGACTGGGCCAGGGTAGACGCTGCACAAAGTCCGGTTCAGGACGCGGTTGAGTGACTAGATAAAATACCCACTCGGGCAGAACATTGGTGCTGAAAACAGTCAGACAAAAAAAAATAGTGCGGTTGGGACTTACGTAGCGTAGCGCGTAGTAAACACGATCTGGCCGTTGTTCGGCCAGGCGGCGACGAGGAGACTGTCGACCATGGATCCGGATAATGCGAATCCGACCCATTGGTTTACCAGCGGGGCAACAATTTCGGCGATATATTCGGTGGGGTTTGGACCACTGGTGGCCAGTGGAGGAAACACATATCCGCTAAAGGACGTCGGAGGTCAACTCTCGTAGAATTTCCGGGTCAAGTTGGAGATCTCACTAAGTGACATTGTGCACGACGTCGGTGAGACCCCAGAATGTTATACCATTGTCGGGGTCGGTGTATTCCATCGCTGCCTGAGACAGGACTATATCGAGTATGAGACTCTGGTAATATCTGAATCCTTCAACGTACCGGAACCAACGAAGGGAAGGACACCTAAAAACAGGCGCAGCAGCATATTCGACGACAAGCCACAGACGAGGGGTTCAGAGGTTGTTTCTTACCGTTGCAGTTTTAAGCATTCATGTGGATGCGAAGAAGCTCCGGAGGTAAGCAAACCGTATATCACGTTGGACCAACATCAACGGCACAAGGGACAGTCCAAAGCTGAAGATGCTAGGACATAGTAGAGAAGCGGATACAAGTCGGATTCGCGCTACAACATGCGCTACAACATGTGCCCACGGAAAAATTAGATCTGTGCATGGAGGCAATATATTAAAACCAGCCATCAAATGGCGGGCGGTGTGGCCATTTGACGCTACGGCCCATGCGAGAAAGTCCCGACCAATTTCCGCATCTGGTGAGCGGGGTGTGTTCCGCCAAGGCGTTATATCCCAGCCAGGCATGGGAGGTCAGGCGGTCAAGACGCGGTCAGAGACTAACCTGGTGGAAATTTACAGGCGAAAGACGAGAATGCGATTTTAAGAGGCGCTAGAATCAAACCCAGAACCAATTTGGCCTCATCCCGAGATGGTATTTATGGAAACAAGGTGTGGAGCTGGCAATTGTCCCTCCGAAAAAACCGCAAGTTGACCCAGGCGTACTGGCACGTCAGGCACATAAATTTAGGTGCTAACTACGAGGCACGCGACCGCGTAGCGGGATGAGAGCAGGATAGCTGGGAGTGGACGCTTTGGCCGGAAGGCTCTCACTGGCAGCGCTTGGAGCAATGGTTACAGTCGCTCGACAATATTTGCGCGTGTATTTGCCCTGAGGTTTGTACGAATTTGTTGCTGAGCTCGCTCGCTCCGGTCTTGAGCTTGGACGACGCCATTGCCCTGCTACACTCTCTTGGGGGCGTGGCCATTGACCACAGTACCGCAACCACATCCCCGCCATAGCCCACTTTGGCACGCGTCTCTCTTTATCCCTTCTTCCCTCCTCCTTTCCCCCTTCTTCGTGCCTCCTCGCACCCCCCGACTCGACTCCGGACTCTCCACGCTCTCT